ATTTATTCTAAGATTATCTTTCAAGATTAGACTCTTTACAGGAGTTTTGTTTCTTTCAAGTATATAGATATGATTTTTCTCTATGTATTGCAAAACTTGAGATAATGAGTTTTCAAACGGATTGAGAGGCTCTCACATGGTGGATTTCTTACAAGGTTCTGACTTGTAAGCCTTGATAACCACAAAAACCAAGCTCACTACCATCCAGTCAATGCCAACTAAGTTTGACCGCATGAGACAGGCTGCAACGGCCGCTGTGAGTTTCCAAGACAGCAACCTCCGGGGAATAGAAATCCCCTTCTTTCTCCTATGGAAAGCTGGTGATTTCTAACAGCTGACCTTGCAGATTAGCGTAATGACTCAGCCTCCAGGGCTCCTGTAAGTCTTGATGCTTCCCATAAAAAGACTGGTGAAGCTATCCCTGAAGCTGCTGATAAGGTTCTGGAACCTTCCAGGAGGAGTTCATACCCATGGAGACCTTCTCAGAGTTCCTCGTCATAGCTGGCGATCCCAAATCACCGATCCAGAGAGCTTCCTGAAGGATCTGTTGAGTCCAGTCCTCTGACCCTCCACATGAAGACGGCTGTTGGCGACGATTGCAGCAAGCTCTTGCCTTTCATCCCTCAGAGTCCTTCCCTCCCTCTTTGTGCATTGATCCTCCCCATCCCCCACCCCATCCCCACCCTGTCCCGCAGGGATGCTGCAGCATGACCCAGTTGCCCACCCTCAGCTTTTCTCAGAGGGACTTGGGGTTTTAGGGTTCCTATTTTAGCTCATGTGTGTAGTGCAATAGCAACGAAGTTATCTGTAATTTAAACCATCAAAGAACCTGCACATACCTACTTGAGTGTGTAAATTTTGTGAAATAATCAAATGACTTAATAGACATTGTCAGGTTAAGGGTAGGGGGTGAATTGGTGTGCCACTCACTAGTCTCTAGAGGGGAAAAAATCCGTACAAGTTTCTGTCTGGGGAAGTTTTCAGAAACATGGATATGAATATATTTGAGTTTCACTTTTACCCTTGGAGTTGTTACTAGAAATGTATCTACTATACTCTTATTATAGTGAATAATAACTGTAGGATCCTACTATAGAAAAGAGGCAGATGCTCTGATAGGTGAACTGGTGGATGTAAGGAGAATGGTGGAAAGGAAGTTGACTTCATCAAGACTTCATTATGGTGGAATTTCTCAACATTCCTAGTCTTGATTACTAATCCCAATTTCTCATGAGTTGATTTCAACTCATGGTGACCTTTTGTATGTCAGAATAGAATTGTGTTCCACATGATTTTCAGTGGCTGAACGTTTGAATTAGTTTTCCAAATCTTTCTTCTGGGGTGCTTCTGAGTGAAAGTCAACCTCCAGCCTTTCAGTTAGCCACTGAGTATGTGAATTGGCACCGAAGGACTCCAAGTCTTGATTTCCAGTTGCCAAGTAGACTCTGACCACAGAAACCCCATTGGCTCTAGGTAGATGCTAATGTGTAAGTAGAATATATTCCCATTGCAGAAGTGGTCAAGGACAGTCAACACAGTTGGATAATTTGGTTTGGGTTTTGATGGACTATCCATTTAAAATATGTTGACACATCAAAGAAGCAAAAGTACTTCACACACACAGAAAATATGGCTTATGATTTACTTTTTGAAATATTGCATCTGTCCAAATGCCCATCACCCTGGGAACACAAATAGCAAAAGTCATTGATTAGTTACTTTAAATGGAGACATTTCTGTATTTTAATTAAAATAAACTTTTTACCTGCTATTGAGTTGCACTAATTAAATTTCACACTTATCTGTGAATCTTAAATAAATTCAATTTCTGGTATAACTTCTGGCTTACTAAGTAGTTTCAAAATCAATGTATGGGCCTGTTCAAAGCTAAAAAGCTAAATTTCTTTACAGTATATCTTCCAAGATCTTAAATTATTAAATATATATTCTTCAATCTTTACAGATACTAATGTCACCTTTATTTAAAAGCTATCTCAAATACCCATGGCATTTGATAAAGTTGTTTGGTAGACAAATAGTGGACTTATAAATTATATTTTATTCTATTTTCCATTACTGATGCCTTAGAAACCAGTTGAATTATATAGGTTTATAGAATTAGTATTTTACAATCTAGATATGAAAGCAGGGGTGATATTGCTTCACTTGGGTACTATCTATTTGAATCATTAGATTTTTCATTTGCTCTTAGGGCGCTTCTTTTCCAATGCTGGAATTACATATCTTCTTAGTTCACTACTTCACACTATGAATCTCTCAGTGAACAATGCCTTTGTATTATCCTTCAACTCCATTCCAACTCACGGTAACCACATCAGACAGAGGAGAACTATTCCACATTGTTTCCTAACTGCAGTTTTTATGGGAATCAATCGACAGGTGTTTTCACAATGGGGCTCCCCATGACTTTGAACAACTGCTTAAACTCTATGCCACAAGGGCTACTTTGTATTTATATTCAGTTATGCAAACTTCACTTGTTTTAGAAGAAGATCATAGGTTCTTTCACTTTTATAATCTATGTTTCCCTATATCTATTGCTTCTTCCAAGTAGCCCTGCTGGCATAGTAGGGATACTATGTTGGGATAGTAAACAAACTGTCAGAAGTTTGAGACCACCAGCCATTCCAGGGGAGTCTAATGAGGTGTTCTACTCTCATAAGGATTTATACAATAAAAAACTCAGAAGACCATTTGGTGTTGGAATCCACTCAGTGGAAGTGAGATTTTTGTTGTTGTTTATTGCCTCTTAAAGCAGAGTATAAACACATTTACTAACTATCCAACAACAAAGCTAGCTTCAAATTCAATAAATACTGGTTAAACAAGTGAGGTGAAATGGAAGCTTTGAGTACATAATAGTTTTGTAACTTGTGGCACCTGTTAACCCAAAATGATTTACACATTAGACACTCTTAATCAATGTCAACACTTTACCAAAGAGGTGGCTTTGATATTTTATCTTCAAAGGTCTTAACATAGTAAACGGACTCAACACACTTTCCTATCTTTTGATGAAAACCTCTTGCTAGCTATAACAAAAGCATGATTCAAAGATGTATGTAATTTCAATAGGTTTCCTATTTTACCAGAAGAAATCTGACAATTATCTGCTATAATGCCAAACCTTAAACGATTTTTTGACAGTTTTTATTGGCACTTAATACACATATCACACAATTCATTAGTTCAATTACACCAAAAAGGGTTGCACAATCATTCCCACAATCAATTTTAGAAAACTTTCTTTTTTTCATGTTTTAGAACACTTGTAAAATGAGTTGTATAATTACCATCAGTTTCAGTGTTACCTCCCTCCTCCCACATACATTATTTGTTCCCCCCACCCCCTCATCCTTGCTATCTCTCCTCCCCCCCACTACCTCTTCTATAAACCCTTACATCAGTTGATTCATTTTTTCCACAAACTTTTTAAATCTACTGATTGCATCTACTCATTATGTGCTTCAAAAGCTGGAAAATCCAACAGAAACAATAAGAAATAGAAACAAAATAAAGTGGTAAGGATAAAATAATAATAATAAAAAGATAAAAATGCAAACAGTAACAAAGAAAAGACTACCATGAATATTTCAAAAGCCAGGACAGAAGTTTTTGTCATGGTATTAGCAAGAAATACTTGCACCTAGAAGAATTTCAGGTTGGGTCAAGAAGTTTTTTTTTAAATTAGAAAGAAAATATAACTCAACCTGAGTAGAGTCAAATGGAACCTACTACAGGACTGTCACCTACCTATAAAAAGAACTGAAGCCTGCCTGCAGAACTTGCAAAGACCCTGTAATAACAACACCGCCCTTGTAATGCTAAATCTGGAAAGGTCTATGCATTTAAACAAAGAGAAAGTCATTGTAACCAGTAGGTGCTTCCTTAACCTAAATGTCAGCAAATTCCCCCAACATCTAAGGAGGAGAAGAGAGAGACTAGGCAGAAGGCAAAAAATATATAGAAAATGTGCAAATATCAGCAAGAAATGTTACAATAAAAAGTATCGCTTTACACTTCCAAGAATAATGATAATCTCTTGGGAAATGCAATTTAAGAAAGAATTATAGAAATAGGATATCCCCCAATGAATTTCTGAAGATCAGAAATATAACTGTTCTGTTAAGGGTCTTTCCTGCCATAAGAAAGGACCTCTAATGGTGCAGTGAGTTAACCATTTGGCTTCTAACCAAGGGTTCAATGGTTAGAACCTACTCACGGTCTGGGATTTCAAATTCGCCTAGCTCTGGTTTATAAGAGAGGTTTCAAAAAGTTTGTGGAAAAATTGAATCAAGGCATATCATTCCATCAACTTTCTGAAGTCCCCTTACTTTCCCATTGTAACTCTATTGCCCTTTCGGGAGACTGGCTGCAGTGTGGCAAGGAAACAATGGGCTGACACACTGGAAAGTCTTGTATCCTATGCCAATTTTATTTTATTTAAAATGTCATTTCCTGGCAGGTGATTCCCATGGTGATCCCTCTTTGCATCATAAAGTGGTTCTGTTAGCTTTCCATTGCATTCTTACTGTTATTCCCAAGGTAGACTGAAACATTTTAGTGTGGTTTATTTTTTTTCTGGTTAATGCTGTGAAAAGAATATATTTGGCAATTGCATCCAAAGATTTCACAATAATGCAAGAAATAGAGAATTTGTAACTGCCTAAAAGAGAGAAAAAGATTACACTTCAATCAAAACTAAAGTCAGCAACATCTGTGCAGGGAGACATGTACAATGACATTTGTGCCTTAATTGGCATCACATGCCAAAAGTAGTTGTTTATGATTATAAAGTGCAGTCGGTTTCAAATGTGGAAGAGTGCTGACCATAGTTTTAAGTCTTTCTATTTGCATAGAGAGAGATGAGGATTTATTCAAGCGCTCTTATTTATCAGAGAAGACTGCATTACAATACTGCTTATGACATTAAAGGTCAAAATTTTACGTAATGCCTTTAAATGATTTATTGACACCAGGTGTTCCAAAATTCCCCAAAGAGAAAATTGATCCTCTGGAAGTAGAGGAGGGAGATCCAATTGTCCTCCTGTGCAACCCCCCCAAAGGCCTTCCACCTTTACACATTTATTGGATGAATATTGGTAAGTAAAATTTTATTCTCTTACTAAAAGGGTATTCTAGTGTTATGCATCATGGTAGATAGCACACTGAACCAAAAATAAAAATTAATATTTAGTATAGGTTCACGATGGGTCAGAATGATTCAATGGCAGTGAGTTTGGCTTTGAGTTATCATTGTGAAAGTCTATGGATTTAAAAAAAAAATTAGACTTGCTTATAGTCTGCCCCAGGTCTAAAATGTACACTGATGTGTTGTTATGCTAGGTTGACTAGAGAAAGTAATCTAGTGACACTCATATATGTATAAAAATGAATTTTATATCAAGATATAATTATATATCAAGAAAACATTGCAGCCCAGACCAACTCAAGTCCTTACATCCAATATTAGTCCATAAGTCCCTCTTCAGAATCACACAGCTACATGCAATGGTGCACAATGCAGGAAGACTACAGGCTGGTGAGTGCAAAGTCTTGTTGATCCAATGGTGTTCGAAGCATCTCCACAACTCTGACAGCCATCAGGTCAGCTAGCAGAAAAGTGAAGGCTGAGGGAGAGGTGAACTTCTCAGAACCCTCCTTATGAGAAGGCCACATGCACAAGGAGTCACCATCAGGCTGTTACCTGATAGACAGGCTAACCCCCACCCCTAAACTTTCATTTATTTTCAAGTTGGCATAAAATTAGGTAACTACCACATGCGTGTACTTAAAAAACACACGTAAACATCACAAAATATAATCTTTGAATTTCCATATTAGAAAAGAGCAGAGGATTCCTATGAGCAAAATACTGTCCATATTCCAAACAAATTTTAACTGTGAAAGATGTTGAAGTTGAGGATGACTTGTGTATATGTTGCTAGCTTTTTATATTAATAATGTTATGACTTTTTATAGTAATTATGGGAGGATGAATTCTATATTAGTAATGTTTCATCTGCTGAAAACAGTAAGCTGCAGAAATATCAATTTACCTTTGTGTTAAACTTGTCAAAAAGTTTTACTCACTCTTGACTGGAAATGCCAGCTTCTTTTCAATCCTCTTACTGGTTTATGCCTTAGCAGTGCTCCCTAAGTATTTTCTCAGTTTGGATCTCAAGAAAAAAACGATGGCATTTATATGAGACTCATAAGCAAATAAACGAGGCTGCTCTTAACTGTCGTCAGAAAGCCCCGGCTATAGTCACTCTGCTGGTTGCCTTCTGGGCTGGAAGAGAGACTGCTCTCTCAGACACATTTGTGTGTGTGGGGAGGAGGGGAGGGGCTCTCTTTTAAAGAAACACGATTCTAAGACATTAGTAATTATAATTAGACATGACTTGATTGATCATTTCTCAGAGAAACAAATGTAGACAGGAAGAGCCAACCCAGAGACCTAGATGGTAAGGAGATGTAGACATGTCCATATTGGTTAGGTTTCTTTTGGTCAATGATGAAAAAAATAAGGTCCCAGTTTTATTTGATTTGTTCATATTTTCTTTCTGCTCAAGCTCTGCTCCATTGGTAGACTTTGAAGAAAGAGGATATACAGATGAAAAAAAATTGAGAAAGAAAGAAAAAAAGTAAAGCCACAATGAAAGAGAGGCGAAGCACAATAAGGGAGAATTGCTTGTATTAATGAAAAATCTTCTTCCCCAGAATTGGAGCACATTGGGCAAAATGAGAGAGTATACATGAGCCAACAGGGAGATCTATACTTCGCAAACGTGGAAGAAAAAGACAGTCGGAATGATTACTGTTGCTTTGCTGCATTTCCAAGATTAAGGACTATTGTACAGAAAATGCCAATGAAACTAACAGTTAACAGTTGTAAGTCCAAATTATATATTATTCCATCATGGGTGCTGAATGCAAATGTGTCTGTAATTTCATTCTGGCTGAATCCACTTAGTGCTGGGCTGATATTTTCCATCATTGTCTAGTCCAGCTCTGGAGACTTCATCCAGAGGAAAGAGACATCTGCAGCTGCAGATCCACAGTAGCTCTGTTTTTGGCAGCCAGAAAATCAAATCTCAATTCATGGTACAAATGTATTTCATTTGTTGTCTGCTTAGTTGTTTTCAGAGGACAAAATACACAGTGAATTTCCTGAGTTTTATAAGCAAGTGGCTGGCATTGACTCCCTGTGATGTTGGATAACCCAGAGAGGTGGAAATGGATGGAAATAACAAAAAAGAGTTAAAATGCAGTATCGTATAATTTCTATCATATCAAGATATTTTTGTTTTTATACCTCCCACCACAAATTTGGCAAAGTTATCTGAACTGCTTCTCTTCCCTCCTTGATGATGCAGATGCCAATGTGGGTTCCCAATGAGGAAAAGTAATTAGTGAGAGGAGGAATAATAAGATTCATAGGGCATAGCTAATCCCCAGCAGTTCACTGATGGAATAATTGGCTCGAATATAGTTGAAAGTTGGCATTACCATCCCATTGTCTGGCTTGGTCTGCAGCTTTGTCGTCCTTCTTTACAGATACGCACCATCAGGGTCTCACTGGTGCATTCTTTTGGGGGCCCGCTTCTCTTATTTGGAGCCTGTCCCTTTGGACCCCTTTGTGGACACTCCACATGAAGCTCCTTCGAGGTGGTTTTCAGTTATATCCCCAAAGGCAATGTTGTAGTGAAGCCCTGTGGTACCTCATTTTGTAATTCTTCTAAGAGATAAAATAAGACTTTTCATTCTTTATTGATATCCGCATCTACCATTACTGTTTGCATTCTGTTTCCTTCCATCTTTTCTTATTTCAGTAAAGCATGCTAATGAGTCAAGTTCATCCACAGACGTTGGTTCCAAGGGTAAGTGGAACACACGTAGACTGTTGTTCCTTATTTTCACCTTTAATACCTCATTGTCATCTCAGCATTTGGATGTTTTTTTCTTTAATGCCTTTGTGAGCTTATTGAAATACTAGTATTTCTTGTTAAAGAAAAGGAAAAATAATAGTTGACTATCAACAAAGTTAAGGAGACACTTATTTTAGGAAAGTTACATGGATATTTTTGCAAGACATTTTCTGTGGCATTTAATGTGTGTTGTAACTTTCTCAGAAAGAAAACCATTCCTACAGCATCCTCCAAATGAATTTCTCCTTGAAACCTTTCTCCACCCACTTCCCTTCCAATAAAGCATCTACCCTTCAATAGGGCTGAGTAAACCTCAATTATATAGGGGTCTAGTGTTCACTGATGAGAGGTATCATTTACATACATGCAACAAACATTCCTTATATCTTTGGGTCGGTGTTTCATATACTAACAAGTCAGAAGGGTAGGTAAAGGTTCTGCTCTGTGTACCCTCCGTCTACTGTTTGAAGGTGGATTGCTTACATGTCTGTACAGACACACACACACACACACACAAGGGAGCTTCAAAAGTGCCTGGAAAATGGAATTAAAAGAGAATTGGATTTTTCTACAAACTTTTGAATCCACCCACCACACACGCCCCTCCGTAATACTGAATACAGTATAAAGCACATGCTCTTTACTTGATAAAAGAATCTTTGTAAAGAAGGTTCGGTCAAGGTGTGCACTGTTTCCAGGACCTTCATTCCTCTCCTCTGAAAATAGGATGTCAGCTGCTTTCTTCTCTGTTCAATCATTGGCCTTGGCGGGGAAATAAATTTGAATGAATATTTGGAAAATGAAACAAAATTTACAGTGAAAACTAAAATCTCTCACTTTGCATTTTATTTGAAAAATGTTCTCACAAAGTAAAAAGCGGTATGTTTTGATAGACTGTTATTGGGAAAGCTTGCTCATTATTAGACCCACAATGATGCTTAACTACGAACCTCTGAGGCCATAAGCAGAGGGACTTGAAAAGCTTTATACTCTCATCGATGCCCAAGGCTTACCATAGACTTCCTTCATCAGAGTTCTGGATGCAGAGCCCGAGAAGTTCATGCCAGCAGGAGCCCTCTAGAATATTGCAGAAACAAAAGTCCATTGCTGGAGAGTTGGTTCTGCCAGCTGGCCCAGTCTGACAGGACATGATTGTTCCACAAAGTCTCAGAGTTATGATCTTCCTGGAAGCAGATTGCCACACCATTATCCTACTGAGGAGAAGTGGGTTTGGACTGCTGACCTTTTGTTAAGCAGACAAGCATTTAACTATTATGGCACCAGAGCTGTATATATAATACTCAGATAAACATGACAAGGAATGATTAAAGTCCAAAATATGAAATCAAAGACTACCAGGTAACAAGAATTTACATCAGGAAACTAATTATCTTGAACAATATTTGGACTTCTGAATTAAAAGATGTGGTATAAACATAAGAGTTAACACATTTATGTGACAACCTTTGTTTCATGTTAATATCAAAGAGGAATCTACTTAAATGGGAACAAATACATATGTATAAACATACACACATATGAAACATACACGTGTGTGCTTTAAGAAAGATTTAATGGCACAAGACTTTACCCCTCAGCTTGAAGCAATCTTTGACTCTTCTTTTCTCTCTTATAGCAAATTTGATTAAGGAAAGAAAACCCAGATTGCTATTGCCCCCAAAGGATAGTGGCAGTAGTTCCGACATCATCATCCTCAAAGGGGACACCTTGATCCTTGAGTGTTTTGCTGAAGGCCTGTGAGTAACCTGATTTCTGCTCATTATTTGCTAGGCTACTTCTGGAAAGAACAAGGCGTTGGTTAAGAGCATGCCTAGGTACCCATGAAAATATTACAGTTTTAAAAAAAGTCTTAAAGATAGAGACTGGTAATAGAACCCTCAAGATTATTAATGGCCCTTAGTCACCCTTCTGGTCTGGAACTGAATTCATGCCTATGACTTACTTTTCAGATAAGAAATAGACACATTTGTGATGGGATCAATACATTAGTAGGATATATGCCCTTAGAATTAACTACCACGTCTAGAAAGGTCAGAAAAAAGAAGGAATGGAAACAGGAAACAGAGAAAGGAAGTGAGATACGTGATGTTACACTGAGGAGATTGCAATGAATGACAAGAAACAAAGTGCAAATGAGATGTTGGATGGAAAATCGATCCGCAATGTAAACCTTCACCCAATTCAGAATAAACTGTATTTAAGTCCTGTTATTACAGGATTTTTTGAATCAATTCATCCTTCTCTCTGTAGAATTCAATCTGGAATTGAAACTGATTTATAATTCGATGCTGTAGTCAGTATGTCAGTGGAGTGGATAAAGATAGCAATCTCCTGAATTTAGGGGGACAGCAATTGTAGAGTATGAGGACATCAGGAGATTAATACTGATGCCAGTTTTGTTGTTCTTTTTTACTTCTGTACTTCATGCTTGCTGTGCTACTTGCTCTGCTCCTCATTCAGGTTGCAGACGTCCTACTCATAAATATTTACCCTCCTGCCCTTTGCACACAAAGGGATTCCAGTCTATGTCATGTACAAGAGACTGCCTTCAAATCATACATTATACTAACTTTCATCACCCTTGAAATAACAATTTACTTTTTCAAATGTACCAAGAAAAGCCCAAAGGTATTTATCTTGATCACTTCTTGAAATTGTTACATTTATTAAATTAATACCATATGGAGGGTAGCCCCAAACCCTGGGATTGTGCTGTGCTGAGCGGAGCTTTCAGTAGTATGCGTTTTTCCCACTAGGCAAGCATCTAGCAACTTGCTCTGAGTTAGTGCACTCAGTGCCATCATCTGGGAAGGTTTCCTCTGGTCACAGTGAATTTTTTTGTGAAAGCAGTTTCATTTGAACCTCTTTTCTTTCTTCTTCTTCTTTTGTGTGTGTGTGTGTGTGTGTGTGTGTGTGTGTGTGTGTGTGTG